CACTAGACACTGCTTCTTTAGACAAAATGTTCAACAAAGGACTAATCTCAAACTCAAGAGTACAGGAATGTAAGGACTTACATTTGAAGGCCTGTGAAGAAGAGGTTGATTGTGTCTTCCCTATTTTTTGGGGGGAATATGGCCTGTCACAGACATACATATACTTTTCTGTATTTACTAACCTCATAGACAACTGGTGTCAGCTTGGGCGAACTATAGTAACATTTGACACAACGTCTGGAAAATGGCACTGTCAATGTAGGGGCAGTAAACACAGACTGAGTTGTGTCCACAGATATGTATGCATGTGGTGGGTATTCCAGGAGCGTCCATCATTACTAAGAGAAAATTCAATTGCAAGTCCTGAAGAAATAGAGGACCTTGAGGAGAAAGAACAAGAGAGGGATGATGACATACAACCATCAAATGACACAGCATCAGCAGTGATTAAAATGACAGAGTACTTTTTGAGGTGCAAGAGAATTCCTGAAAATCTTCCACAAGACTTAATTGTAATGGAAATGGCGATACCTGAAAGCTTTGTGCCTAAAGAGTCACAGTGCCCTTACTGCCCAGGACCATGCTACCCTAACCTCAGTGAAGCAATTCTGAAGACAAAGCATGCTACCATTTATGGTTTGTTTTCTGTGCACAGAGGTATTTGTCACACTTTTGTGAGTTCTAGTGGAAACATATATATATATATATATATATACATATTTATGCATTTATTTATGCATTTTTTTGTTCAGGTGTTGCAGTGTACATAAAGGAATGCCCTGTTTGTGGAACCCAAGTCAGATTCCAAGAATATAATTCTGGATTTCATAATTTCAACAACAAATTGTTCCTCACAATCCCTTTGTGCTCACTTTTGACAACAGGTCTTTCTGTAAGAAAAAAAAGTGAATTTTAAGCAAGCAACAGAAATACATTTTTAGCTGAACATTATCTTACATATTGTCCAAACTAATGTAACTTTGTCTTTACCTGCAACAGAACCACATTGCTGTTGGGCGTTTTTTGCGTACTTTGGGGGAACACAGCAAAGTGTACATTCCTCACAACACAATAAGGAAAGCTTTTTACCACTTTTCCGCTTTGAGGAGCTACAACTACAATTACTTCTGTTACCGTTGTGGCCATCATGCTCCTATTTTGATTGCTGACAGCAACTGGAAAGTGGCCTTTGACTTACCAGGTAGGAATTCAGCAATTCACCCATTCATGAAAAAACTGCTTTACCCTCAAAAGTTGCCAACAACAGTTTCCACTGTCTGCTCTTGAAACTTACTCTTTTTGTGTAGTGCATCTCATGAAACGACCAGACCTGACAAACACCACTTCACAGGACACACAGGTGAACATTTCAGCTAGATGGGAAAACCTTGAGAAAGAGATAATTGCAACAGGATTTTGTGATGGTAAGCTTTTTTAAGATACTTAAACATTATGCTAACTTCCTTTAAATTTAATTTACACTTCCTTCCTTCCTTCCCTCCCTCCTTCCCTCACTATTTACTCACTCGCTCACTCACTCACTCACTGACTTACTCACTTATTCCCTCCATTCTTCCTTCCTTCACTCCCTTCCTAGGTCCCTCCCTCAGTCCTTCCTTCTCTATTTACTCACTCACTCACTCACCGTCTCCCTCCCTCAGGGTCATCTCAAAACCCCTTTTCTAGCTCACTAACATATTCTGCATTTACACCATGGATTGGGCAATACTCAAGAATATCTGATGTCTTACCAAAGACTGAGATTTTCAAAGGCCTCTCCCAGAAAGACAGATTGTGGACAAAGAGGCCAAATGAGGAATTTGATGAGGACAGAATTTTGCAAGTATTAGAGACCAAAGGGGTAATACATTTTACAAGCTAATTCTATTAAAAACATATATATACATATAAAAATATTTAGTTTTTAAGTTTAATGTATCACATTTTTAGCCGAAATAACATTTTGGAGTCAATTTTTCATTTGCTTGAACTACTTTGGCAGCGTTTTTTTTAAATAACCATATGCATGTTTTTTCACCCTCATTATTAGCCTCGAAGAGAAGATCTTACAGAGGCATGCAATGCTCTAGGCATTTCAGCAAGTGGATCACAGTCTGACCTAATCAATAGGCTTGAGGAACTTTTGTTGTATAAGGATATATATCCCAAAATGTTCGTGAAGCTTCACAAAGCTGGAGGTAAGATAAATATGTAGACAATTACAAGCATGGTCCAGAATGGACAACAACTTTTTTTTATGCATCTGGAAAACGGACATTGAGGGAAGCAGGTAGAAAAAATGATGTAAAAGCAGCAGTTTAATAAAAGTAACAAAAAAAACAAAAAAACATAATCCAGGTAAACAGGAATGTGTGGCACAGAAACTCATAACTGAGAATGAAACAGAGAAATCCATGCTAAAATACACAACGATAATCTAACTAGGGACACTTCTGAAAACAACTGAGGAGAAGTAATGAACAAAGTAGCTACAAAGGTCTTTAAACAAGCACAGGAAACAGCAAAAGACAAAAGACAGAGAACTAAAGCATGAATATTACATTCATCTATCATAACCATTTTGCCGTGATTGATAATGAATCATAGACATTATTGACTGACAGTTACTGAAAAAATAATACATTTATATTTTACACTTGACGTTGCCAAACGATATAATTTTTTTTTTGTCGAAAATATATTACATGTAATTAGCAATATTCTGCATTTTTCCCCACAGGAGGGGTACTGCATCTTGGGTGCACCCATGGTGTGGTGTACTATCATTCACCCCTGTGGTGGCAGGAATCTGCTCGAGACCATGGAGATGCTCTCCTGAGTTTAAAATTTCCACCCACAGTATTCATCTCTGACATAGCTGGACGTGTCGCCAGACATGTCAATAATAGGACTCATCAAAAATGTTTCCAGCCACATGATGGCAGGTTATGTGCTCCAACAGCAGAAAACATTTCTGCTGCATTGGAAAAAAAACTTAAAGTGCAGCAGGAATGGGTAAATACCCTTCAAAGCTCTATGGGGCCAAAGATAAATGAAGACAAAACAACTGACAGATTCGCATGCCCTCACCCTCTCACTGGAACTTGTGAACGGTACTCCCTTTATAACCGTTTTCATGAAAAAAACCAAAAAAGGCCAGAGAGACTGAGGAGCATAAAACTATTGCCAGATCTTGCCTCAATTGTTAATTCAGCTTCAGCAGAGCAAATTAACAAAGAGCTGTCAACCAGCAGGTACTTCCTCTGCCAATTGAAGGACATTCACTATATGTTCGCCTTGCGGCTGTATTTCCATCTGCACAACCAGCGGATCAATAATTCCTTCTTGCAGAACATTCAAAAAATGTCAAACAAAGATGTGCACCTAGGGCTACATGGACACCTATTAATAGGTGTGGATGAGGAAACAGACAAAGGTAATGTAAGTCATTAAATAAAAGTTCATGTAGTACTACAAATGTTATTAACATATATTTTGTTTTCATCTCAATTCTATGTCATATCATTGCAGAAATGTACCAAAGAACATCTGTAAAGTCAACTGACCCGCAAGCTGAACCAGAAAAAGTTGAGGAAGATCTGAAGAGTTTCACTGTGTCATTGTTTCCTATAAGTGAACAAAATAAGGTACATACTGACTTTTGTATGTGATAAACTTCAAAGTAATAGTTTACAATAACCAAAACTACATCTCTAATATTTTATGCTTCAATATAATGAATGGCTTCTGAACTACAGGACAAACTGAAACAACTTTACATTGCCTGGAGGAGAGAGAGAGCAATAATTCACAGATTTTCAGCGTACGCAACGCTATATATTGCGGACTTGAGAAGTGTTTGCCCCTCTTCTCTTTTAGATGAAGATCCAAACAAGAACATGCCTTGGTTAAATGACAATGTAAGTGTGCTAACAATGTTCTTATGTTTGCTTTACAAATCTTTATAAGGATCTCAGAACATTACACTGCATACTGTTCATATAATATAAGCACTCATCACATTCACACTACACTCATCTCATAGTCTGTATATTAAAGTCTGTGTAATTATTTAAAGGCTGTGAACTGTCGTATTGCTCAAATTGCTGCAGAAACTCAGGATGTAAGTAATTGACTATTCAATGACTAATCAATCTTTTGTGTAATTACCTCATGCTGAGAAATGACGCGTTGCATTGTGAATGTTAAAAACAAAGTATAATTACTTTCTGTTTACTTCATGCATAGGTCGTTGCCTTGAACACCGATGTGTACATTTTGTGGTACAGAGAGTGGACACAAAAAAAAGCCATTACAAGGTCACGTGTGCAAGGTCTTCAGGTATGCTTGACTACATGTATAGCAACAGAGAGGTTTCTCTCACACACACATGTATATATATATGTATATTTGTATATATATATATATATATATATGTGTGTGTGTGTATGTTTTATTTATATATTGTGTGTGTGTGTGTGAGACCCTGGAGCACAAAAGCAGTCTTAAGTCGCTGGGGTATATTTGTAGCAATAGCCAAC